GATGTTCTGCTATGCCCAGTCTATTTCCCGAAGGGATGGTTCGTTGGGAAGCTACAAAAGAAGGTACTAGAGAGCAGTGGTATCTTTGTCCCATGCTGAAACACTTAGTCAAACCATAGCTTTGTTCACAACAGCACAGGCCTGCAAGCTCATGTTTGTGAACTGGCTCATTGTGTTACAATAATATTTAGCATTTGTACAATTCTTTTTAAATAATCCATGTGCTTAATATTTATTACCTTTCTAATCCTTACAACAACTAAGTATGGTAGGTCAGTTTTGCATATTTGAGTTTTGAATATTTGAGTGCTGCTGAGAGACATTCGCTTATCTAAGAGCACCTAATGAATTCATGGCTGAGGGTTTTTTATGGGCTACTTCCTGGTGAACATTTCAATCTTAGTCACACTTCAAGCTTACAAATGGCCTCTACAGCCAATAGGAGGTCTGCAATGCTTGCCACTGGAGAATCATGAGACAAATATAGTTTAGCCTTTCAGTACCTTCTAATACAAGATTAGCGTTCCACTAAAACTTGCCAGCTCACATGCCATTGGAATCCAAGTAGTTGAAACTTCCAACATCAAAAAGGCAACCAGGAGGATTTTCCTAGCTGGATTTGGAATTCTGATCTGGAAGATTCTGCAAATATTGTTGTGTTGTCTTTCTCTCTGTATATGTATTCACACCAGAGAAGTGTTACTCTGCCTTCTGTGGATGTGTTGTATCTATAACATTTAGTCTCAAAATATACCCTGTACCAGGAATAGAGCTCAGTTACGTAGATCACAAGTCAGATTTTCAGATAAACACGGACTTCCATCTTATTCCAAAACCATGTATATATAAAAAAGAAAAGAAACTGATGTCATGCCACAAGCTCTTGTATAACGTTTTCAGATCTATTCTCCTCAGCCTCCCTTGTACTATATAACATTATCACACACATACTGATCTTAGCTGCCAGTCAGTACAGGTAGAATTCAAGATGGCAACCAACTTAACCCATCTACAACATGCTATCAGGGGGAGGAAACCTGCATCTTTAGGGGTTAGGTTTATCATTTTGACTGTTTCAAAAGGATCAAACCCTTGGGGCAGGGGAAGAAGCAGAAACTGAAGGGTTTGTGGGCAGTTTGGAACCTGGTGGAATATGGTACATACATACATACATACATACCTTTCAGTTTTCTGGCCAAATCAGTAAACACATGCTAGAGGGCATTATACTCCAAGCAAGAATGTGTGTTCATCAAGTCTTTTGATTTGAGTTTCAAGCCTGAAGAAGAGCTTCATGAAGGTTTACTAGGAATTATATTTCAGAGGCAAAGCAAAATTAATCCCTTGAGATACTGAGGAATTGTTTGGACAATGCTTTCATTCCAGAATTGACCCTGGGGAGAGACTGGGCCTGGACTGCAAGCTGACACACTCCTTCCTTCTCTCCCCTGACAGAGAAATGAAAAACGAAATGGGAGACTCAGTGGTTATTGGAAGACTGAATCAGCCCCAAGCATGCCCAATTTAAAGAGCTGATTTCTCCCCATCAGGGAGGTAGCCATCTGCATTCAGACAACTGCAGGCCAAGGGCCATTCAGTCATGAATTCCCTCCCCTCTGTGAGAGTACGTGAAGTCATGGCCCATTTCCAATCTTTCCCTGATGAAAGTCACAGCATAATCAATATAGTAAAAAAAAAAGGGGGGGCAAACCAACCACAGCATAGTTTCTAAGTTAAATCACATTAATTTTATCTGACAGCAAGACTCTCACAATTCCCTTGTCATCAAAATCATCTTATGCAGCTTCCACTTAACTAAAAAGGCTACAGTCCTATAGGCACCAAGTTGGAATAAATCTCACTGAATTCACTTTAATTTCAAGTAAACATGGGCTGCGTGTGAGTTTGTATGGGTGTTAAATCATGAAGTTACAGCAGCTGTGATACATAATTGACTGTTGTAAACTAGATTTGAAATGCTAGCTCCATCTCTCAGGTAACATCATTGTCTCTGACCAAACTGATGATTCCTGGTGTCAGGCTTTTTACGTCAGTACAATGTAACAATGCAGAATAGCTTTCAACACAAATACGGTACTTGTTTCCTTCTAGGTCCATGGACTTATGGCAAGGATCCCACAACAGGGGATGATTTCACGCATGCCAGTGCAGTCCATCTTATGTGAAAGGTAACAAAACATGCAAACTTCTGAGCATTCTTGACATTTGTAACAAACCTCTTCAGATGTGAAACCCGAGATTCTTTCTTGAGCTGTGCTGTTGGGCAGATGGCAAATGGCTGTCCTGCAAGAGGTGACAGGAAGTGGGGAAGCTGGATCTCAGGATGAACTGCCATCTGGTTTTTCATGGAGAGGGGGGAGATTCTGCCACTGAGCACAAGGTTGGGGTCAGCAAACTTTTTCAGCAGGGGGCCCATTGTCCCTCAGACCTTGTGGGGGGCCAGACTATATGGGGGGGGGCAGAACGAATTCCTATGCCCCACAAATAACCCAGAGGTGCATTTTAAATAAAAGCACACATTCTACTCATGTAAAAACATGCTGATTCCCAGCCGGCCGTGGACTGGATTTAGAAGGCGATTGGGCCATATCCGGCCCCAAGCCTTAGTTTGCCTACCGATGGCTTTGGAAGTTCCCACCGAAGTTTCCCTGGTGGACTTTTGCTAACTACAGTCCTTGCTAAACGGGGCTGAGGGAAGTTGGAGTCCAATATCTGGTTAGCCTCCCCTGCCTTAACCAATCCACTCAATAAACCTCGAACCACAGTGTTTGTGTCCAGAGGACTCATCCCAGTAGCATGTATATTTAAATTCTGGCAAAGATGAGAAAGCTCACAAATAAAAGCTGTGCCGTCTTATCAGTAAGAATAAAGAACTGCCTATATTTACGATGTATTGTTACAATTGTCATTCATATGTTTTCACTCATTACCCTCTTGAGGATTTACTGGAATTGAAGAAAGGCACATCTGTGTAGCATGCCTATCTAGTCAATTGGAAGGAACCAGTTGCCCTAAGAATCCTCCCTTCTACGCACACAAGTAAGTAACTTGATCCTGCAAAGCTTACTTTTGCACACTCACAGAGAGAAAAATAAAAACTTTCTTTTTTAAATTAAATGGCATGTAGGAATAATGAACTCAGGTGTCAATACCAAGCAATCTTGTGGACAGCTCAGCCAGGACAGCGTCAGACTCTTGATCGCAGGGCCGTGGGTTCGACCCCCAGGTCAAAGATTCCTGCATTGCAGGCGGATGGACTAGATGAGGTTTTCAGATCAATGTTAGGTGCAGACCATGAATTTATCTTTCAGAATAGGATGTTTAAACAAATACTAAAATAAAGCTGCTAAATATCTCATTTTAATTGCTGAAGCTTAGCTTAAGGTTTTTCTACTGGGAAGCATATTCGCTGAATAATAATGTAGCACTATAAATTACATTGCTTTCTTAATGTTTTTATTTGTTTAATCAAGAACATATACAATTCAATAACATACAAAAATAAAGAAAAAATACAACTGAACTAAACTTAAAATTAAAATTAAACATGCACACATCACAAAATATATACAAATTTGGGTAATTTGATTCACAATCCCCAGAAAAATAACTATTATTCTTGATGCTGGAAGATAGTAACATATTCTTCTTCTTCTTTTTTAAAAAAAAGGCAGGATATTGTCCTTGAAGTCTTATGATAATGTAACTTGAAGCTGAAAAGTTACAAATAATTCCAAATAGTATCATATTTTGCAGGAGGCATTTGAACACTGTTATCATTTATATACAAAATAAATGTTTGTCTCACAGCTGAAACTGAATCTTGTTATGTTTATTCCCTAGTATTTTTCAATTTTTCAGCAATGGCTATGGACCAGATTTGACTAAGCCATAAAAACTTATTTAATCGTCCATTTCCATTTTCTTACAATATGCATCCTAGCAGCGGACAATAAATATAGAATCAATTATTTATCCAAACCATCTTCATTCATCCCATCCCATATCCTTAAAAATGCTAATTAAGGGACTAGTATCAATTTTTGTTTTGTGATTAAATTAATTTATATGCACACCATCTCCACAAAAGCTGCCGCTGGGGACACTCCCACCAGAAATGGGGATGTGTGGCTCTTTGTCTTTCACAGCAGCAGTATTTTGAGGAGTAACTGGGGCTAAAGTATGATAAATATCACCAGTGCACAGTGGTGATTTTAAACATTAGCCTAAGAGTGGATTCTTGAATCCTTGGTGAAGATGGTTTAATAGGCAACTTGTTCCATATTCTTCCCCATTTTATTAGGTCAACATCATAACCCAAATGCCTTTGCAACATTTTTGTAATCCTGTTAGATTGTCTGTATCTAAATTACACTGATGAAAACACAGCATCCACAATTCTTTTGAAAAAAGATATGGTTTAGAATTCAACAGTACTTTGCATTTATTTTTTATTCTATAAATAATAATTTTCAGAAGTTGCTCATGCAACTCTAACATAGGAATGCTAACTTTAGCCCTACTAGATAAGGGGGACCTGAACAGAAATACATTCTATTTGTTTTGGGGTTGATGCTATACATATTACAATGTAGAAGATAGCTTTTCAAAATGACTAGACTAATGTGGCACCAACTGACTGCAACCTCTAACATTTCCCTTGCAAAATAATAGATCTGCACTGCTTGTGATGGAAGAAGTATTGAGGGCCTCATGAGCACACTGGCTAGAATCCAGGGATCGCCCCCCCCCCCCATGTATCATCAGGCATGCACCCAGATGGAGGGGCTGCAAAATTTCTCTTCTGTGTGCAATTTGTGCTACATTGGAGAAGTGCTTAGTCAAGGAACTCAGGGCTTCAGGTGCAAGATTAATTCCATTAGGCTGTGGAGCAAGTGAGTAGCAGAATCCATTTACCTTCTCTTTCTCCCTTCCCTCCTCATATGTTGCTTCTCTGTTTTGTTTTCATTTGTACTTTTGGTTTCTGCTGCTGCTTTTATAGCGTCAAGAAACAGCTGAAATGACCCTTCTTGTTACTTAGAACAAATGTTTCTTTGTATTTGAAACAAAGGTGTGTGTGTGTGTGTTGTTTGTACATGGAAAAGATCTCAATTAAATTTACTTATCAACCTGCAGAGCCTTTGTGAAATATTCAAATGAGTGTTGCAAAGAGAGTAAGCAAAAGTCAAATTCAGAAGTCTCTCTAATACCTAGGGATAAGAGAGAAGGAGTGACTAATTTTTTTGGGGGGGGGGCACAATCAAGTTCAGCATCTTTTCTTCTTAATTAAAAATATATAATTGAGTTATTTAAAGCATCAATATCAATGAATGAGATCTGGCTGTGCGATATGGGCATGAAAACAGATGGAAAACCCTGAGCCTGTGCAGAAAAAAAGCTTGGACTATATAATCCAATGACTAAACCTACTAGCCAATCAGTTTAGAAATCAGAACAGTGGAGAATCTTATTTTATTTTATTTTATTGGCATGTTTTAAACCAGACAAGATGAGACCATTTTGTACCTGGATTTCCAATAGCAGAATCCAAAAAATTAAGTAATCTTGCACTGCTAAATAGCCCAATTTGCTCTAGAATGGTTGCCTGGTTTGTGAAACAGCTATTTCCTGAAAGCCAAATATAATACAAGGCTGAAGAAGAAGAAGAAGAAGAAGAAGCCTGTGACGCACATGTAGCTGATGACATTTATTTCTTGTTTCATAGGACGTTTTATGGGCAAAAATAAAATGAGGATATTTATTCCTAGTAATGGCAAAAGAGAGGTTGTCTTCCTGTGATGGGAGAAAGATATCATTTATTTGAGAGGCAGCGGCGGAGGAAGCCGCTCGGGCACCTGGGGTGAGCCGCCCATAAGGGTGGGGCGCACTGCAGAGCCTCTGAGGAGTCTGCCTGCCTCCTCCCACTCAGCCGCCCTACAGCTGGGGGGGGGAGGCAGCAAGCAGACCGTTTGGGCAGCGCAGAGCCTGCGCGCCCCCAAGCCACCGTGTCTCTCCCAGGAGAGACGCGTGGCTCAGGCACACTGCAGGCTCCGTAGTGAGTGCCGCCCGGCATTTTGTCATACACACCCCCAGTGGTGACACCTGGGGCAGCCCACACCTACCACACACCCCGTCCTCCGTCCCTGTCAAGAGGGCAATTGCCATTTTCATCACTATGGCAAAAGAGGTATGCAAAGCCATCCAATAACTGATTAATCTTATTTAATTATTTTCTAAAAACCAAAATGAGCATAAAAAGGTGGAGCCTTATTTGTTGGTGTTTGTTTCTTTTTAAAGAATATATGAAGACTTCTGAGCAGACTGGAGGAGGGCAAATGTTGTCCCTATTTTCAAAAAGGGGAAAAGAGAGGACCCAAATAATTACCGCCCAGTCAGTCTGACATCAATACCAGGGAAGATTCTGGAGCAGATCATTAAGCAAACTGTCTGTGAGCACCTAGAAAGGAATGCTGTGATCACCAATAGTCAGCATGGATTTCTGAAAATAAGTCATGTCAGACTAACCTGATCTCGTTTTTGACAGAATTACAAGCCTGGTAGATGAAGGGAACGCAGTGGATGTAGCCTACCTTGATTTCAGCAAGGCATTCGACAAGGTGCCCCATGATATTCTTGTAAAGAAGCTGGTAAAATGCGGTCTTGACTATGCTACCACTCAGTGGATTTGTAACTGGCTGACTGACCGAACCCAAAGGGTGCTCATCAATGGTTCCTCTTCATCCTGGAGAAGAGTGACTAGTGGGGTGCCACAGGGTTCTGTCTTGGGCCCGGTCTTATTCAACATCTTTATCAATGACTTGGATGATGGACTCAAGGGCATCCTGATCAAATTTGCAGATGACACCAAACTGGGAGGGGTGGCTAACACCCCAGAGGACAGGATCACACTTCAAAACGACCTTGACAGATTAGAGAACTGGGCCAAAACAAACAAGATGAATTTGAACAGGGAGAAATGTAAAGTATTGCACTTGGGCAAAAAAAATGAGAGGCACAAATACAAGATGGGGGACACCTGTCTTGAGAGCAGTACATGTGAAAAGGATCTAGGAGTCTTGGTTAACCACAAACTTGACATGAGCCAACAGTGTGAAGCGGCAGCTAAAAAAGCCAATGCAATTCTGGGCCTCATCAATAGGAGTATAGCATCTAGATCAAGGGAAGTAATAGTGCCACTGTATTCTGCTCTGGTCAGACCTCACCTGGAGTACTGTGTCCAGTTCTGGGCACCACAGTTCAAGAAAGACACTGACAAACTGGAACGTGTCCAGAGGAGGGCAACCAAAATGGTCAAAGGCCTGGAAAAGATGCCTTATGAGGAACGGCTAAGGGAGCTGGGCATGTTTAGCCTGGAGAAGAGGAGGTTAAGGGGTGATATGATAGCCATGTTCAAATATATAAAAGGATGTCACATAGAGGAGGGAGAAAGGTTGTTTTCTGCTGCTCCAGAGAAGCGGACACGGAGCAATGGATCCAAACTACAAGAAAGAAGATTCCACCTAAACATTAGGAAGAACTTCCTGACAGTAAGAGCTGTTCGACAGTGGAATTTGCTGCCAAGGAGTGTGGTGGAGTCTCCTTCTTTGGAGGTCTTTAAGCAGAGGCTTGACAACCATATGTCAGGAGTGCTCTGATGGTGTTTCCTGCTTGGCAGGGGGTTGGACTCGATGGCCCTTGTGGTCTCTTCCAACTCTATGATTCTATGATTCTATGACCTCATGGACCAGAGCACGCCATCCTTTTTAATCTTAACTCAGTTAAAAGTTCTTTAGATAGCCACCCTGGCTTCTTTGGGCACCTTCCATGTTTCCGTCTCATTGGTATTGCCTGAAGTTGTGCTTTTACTATCTCCCTCTTAACAAACTCCCAGCCATCATGAACTCCCTTTCCTTTTAGTATTACTGTCCATGGGATCTCACCCAGCACTTCCCTAAGTTTTATGAAGTCGGCTTTCTTAAAGTCAAGAAATTGAGTCCTAGTATGCTTGCCTGCTCTTTTCTGCTGTATAGTAAACTTCAGAAGAGCATGATCACTCGCGCCTAATGATCCTTCCACTTCTACCCCACTAAGCAGGTCATCAACATTGGTTAGGACCAGATCTAAAATGGCTGTTCCTCTTGTTGCTTCTCCCACTTTCTGGACAATGAAGTTGTCTGCAAGGCCAGTCAGGAATCTGTTTGACCTTATGCTCTTGGCTGAGTTTGACATCCAACAAATATCCGGGTAATTGAAGTCCCCCATTACTACTATCTCCTTCCTTTTGCATGCTTGGCCATCTGTTCCAGGAAGGCATCATCTATGTCCTCCGTTTGGCTTGGGGATCTATAGTAAACTCCCACAATGAGGTCACTGTTATTCTTCTCTCCCTTAATTTTGACCCAAATGCTCTCACTTTGGCTTTGAGGTTCTAAATCTTGGATCTCTTCACAGGTATACACATCCCTGACATATAACGCCACTCCTCCTCCTTTCTTGTCTGGTCTGTTTCTCTGAAATAGATTGTATCCCTCCATTATTACATTCCAATCGTGGGACTTATCCCACCAGGTTTCAGTGATGCCTATTATGTCATATTTAGTTTGCTGTACCAAGAGCTCAAGCTCATCTTGTTTATTCCCATGCTTTGCGCATTAGTGTACAGACATTGAAGTCCATTAATCATTCCCCCGTGTCTCTTATTTAAGGATTTTTCCTCCCACCACTAGGTCTGCGTGCTGTTTGCTCCATTTGGTCTATGACATTTGGATGATCATCTTCATCAACTGATAAGACTCCTACCTTCAGGAGCACTGTCTCCCTCCCCCACATTAGTCAGTTTAAAGCCCTCCTGATGAGGTTTCTGAGATTTTTGGCAAAAACATTCCTCCCAACCGTTGTGAGGTGCAGCCCATCGCTTGCCAGAAGTCCATCTTCAAGAAACTGCAGTCCGTGATCTAAGAATCCAAACTGTTCCTGTTTACACCATTTGGGAAGCCAGCTGTTCACTTCCACTATTTTTCCCTCTCCCCCCGGGCCACGTCGTTCAACTGGGAGGACAGATGAGATGACAATTTGTGCATTTAATTGCTTCAATTTCCTACCCAGAGCTTCGTAGTCTCTTTTGATCTTCTGGAGGCTATTGCTGGCAGTGTCATTGGTTCCCACATGAACCAAGAGGAAGGGGTATTTGTCAGTGGGTTTTATGATTCCTTGCAGTCGTTCAGTTACATCTTGGATCTTAGCCCCGGGGAGACAGCACACTTCCCAAGACATCTTGTCAGGCCCACAGATCACTGCTTCTGTTCCCCTCAGTAGGGAATCCCCTGCTTTTTAAGATGCTGTCTAGGTCCCAAAACACACCTTTATTAAAATATGTGAGTAACCAAGTTTCATTGGCTTTTCCCTACAGCATGCAGTTGCTATAATGAGATTATGGCTGGGTGAATCTGATCACAAGTTTCCTGCTTGAGTTTTTCTTATGTAATCTGAGGATAACAGTGGGTTCATTCTCAAAGGGCATAAACCCTGCAGGTCCTTCAGTCGACTAAACGCTATTACTGTAGGACTTGCAGTGTTAAGTAATGCATATTTCCCCCTATTTCCTGTGGAGTTTTCTTGTAGTCTCAAGTGCCTTTTGGCAAAAGACCTTTACTTAAATGCCAGTCTTCACTTTATCAATGGACAGAAAATGTCCAGAGTGTGCAAAACACTGACTCAGAACAAAACGCTAAGAATTATTTTTGCACAGATGAGTTTCATAACCCAGGGGCGCCTCTACATCCCTGCCACCCTGTAGGTAGCGTGGTGCTTTATCTTTGTGTTAGTACTCAAGGGAGCATCACCCTACAGCAGTTTTTTAAAAACTTCCTACTGTTATGGAACTCTTCCCATATCAACCTGTCTTTCATGAAATCCCTGCACCTGCTAAGACTTTCATTCAGCTCATGTGGGTGTTAATGTGCACCCTAAAACACACCTCTATACATTCCTGGATAGGAAGCTTTTCTACCTTCCAGTGCTGAGTTTTTAAACTGTGTTCACATGACTGATGTAATCCAAAATGTATATGTAATCCTGTACTTTGTTGTAAGATTTGCCTGTCTTATGTGACAGGCTTTTCCGTCCGCCTCTCATTTCCGTTTGAAACTTGCATTTTTGTTGTTTGCTGCATTTAGGGCTTGACCTACCATGCCTCTATGTAGCACAGAAATTTACAATAAAAATGGAAACCAAAAAAGAAAGAAAAGAAACAGATAATTGCATCAAAGTTGGGGACTCAGTTGCCTGTGGTCCTACCCTGTAGAGTACTCAAAGCCAATGTACATGTTCAGTAAAAGCATGTGGTACAGCTTTTCTTGGGCTGTACAACTTCAGAGTGCAACTGTAAAAACAATGTGAGTGAATCTCGCCGTATAAAAAACATGTAGCACCTAGAAATCTAGGACATCAGGACATACCTCTGGCATACTAGCTTTCCATAGGCAGGGAAGTTTTGGCGTTAAAAGCATTTAGTCATACAATTACCCTACTTATATTTAAACATATCCATAGCCCACCTTGTATCATATAGATCTCAGGGCAGGGTACAGAAATCTTTATAAAAACAATGAAATGCATTGGTATTCTGAAGTGGCACAGTGGCCACAGAAGGATTGTCCCAGGAGTCCTTACTGAATGTGTGCGTGGATGCTCAGCGTCATGGCTTATCCAACCTTGATTACCTGATCCTGCAGAATACAAAAGCATTTTGAGTAGTTGTTGTGCATTGCCAGAGAAGGCTCAAAGTCATTCTCTTTTTCTTGCCAGTTCATAAGAAATCAAAGGACAATCTGTCAGCCCAGCACCGTGCTTCAAAGAGGAAAGAGATAAACCACTTTTACCTTCCAAGCAGATAAGTATGCATAATGAAACTGTTTAGACTTGGAGATTTTTTCTTGATGGATGCTGAATGCTCTAATGTGGCAAGCTCAGAGGCAGATATTAATCGCAGAGCTTTAATGCCAAAGGGGGGAAAGAATTAACTCTGCAATTCCAATTGAAAATGTTGACTTCCTCCCATAGTAATACACATTAAAAATAATACTTTCTCTCTACAGCAGAGTCTGAAGTCTAGAAATAATATGACTCCTGGAGATATATGAGGGAGTGCAATCCCATTAATTCTGCAACTCATGGACTTCGCATGGTGCAATCATTATTATCTCATGATCTGCATATTCTTTTATCTATGTAACTTACAGATATTTAGATAATGGCAAACTGAAGGGCTAATTATATGTTACGTGGTCATTTACACTATTATATTTATATCCTGCCCCTCTTCCATCATGGAAATCAAGACATGGTACACAGGGTTCCAAATTGGCCTCTCAACCAGGGATTAACAAAACCCAGATCTGTCTAGACCAGGCTTCCTCAAGTTGTTTTTGGCCTACAACTCCCATGATCCCTAGCTAGCAGGACCAGTGGTCAGGGATGATAGGAATTGTAGTCTCAAGACATCTGGAGGGCTGAGGCTGAGGAAGCCTGGTTTAGACTCAGCAAACATGCTGCATCCTGTGGCTTCAGGCCATGTCCTGGAGCCTTATGCACGGCCCCAGGGCCATTTTTAAGAGACTGAAGCAGCTTCAGAAAGTTTAGGGCTGAGGAGCAGCCAGAGGAAAAGGATGTGCTTTACTATTTCCACATTGTAGAATCATAGAATTGTAGATGGAAGGGAACCCTCAGCTAGATCATACATGACAGATGGCTATCCAACCTCTGCTTAAAAACCTCCAAGGAGGGAGAGTCCGTCACCTGCATGTCAATGCTCCCATAAATTTCCCATGAACTTCATTTCATTTATTTCAATGAAGCTATGTAGCATATGGGGGAAGCTTCAAAGAAAAACTGAACTATTTTCCAATTTATAAATGCTTCCTTGCTTGATCCCTTAAAGGGAAACTCTTACTCACCACAAGCATCCAGCATCTTCTAAATTCTTGCACTTACTTTCTGTAACTTCCTTCCTTGAAGAAATTCTTTCCCCTTCCTCCTCCCTGTCACTTCCACTGACAGCACCTGCACTGCTCAAAACCTCTCATTCTAATGCCAGAGAAGCCACAAAGCTTTCCTAGCAAATAAAGACTGTAATTTTGCCAATGTAGTCAGGAGGTATGTTTATGCAAGTTAAGAAAAATAATGCCACCTCCATTGCTATTGTGATATGAAGTATTACACACCATTCCTGTCTGCTAAAGCCAACACCACAAATTGCATTGACTTCCAAACTAGACCAGTGCTGAGTGTTTCTGAACTCACACTTTAAACCACAGCAACACATATATTTGCACTTGTGACTGATAATGATGGGAAACTACACTCTCCATTTATTTTCATAAGCCAGGCATAGACATGAAAACTGCCATGAAACCAGAAGAAAATGCTGACTGGGCGCTAGAGAGGCTGGCTAACAGAAGGGGTGAGCTGAGGACATAAAGCTCAACTTGACATGACAGTATCTTTTCTCTGCAGCCATCTGCCTGCAGCACTAACAAAAGAAGACAACGACGAAGAAGGCAGCTTTATTCAGGGCTTTATGAAACATTCTGCATACATTTTCTTTGCTGAGTGTTCTGGGATATTTCATCCTCTTTTTGCATGATGAAAGACTGTTTTGCCACTGAAGAAGCTTTGGGTTAAAATCTCCAAAAGGTTATTCTGATGAGGAGAATCCCATGAATCATAAAAGGAGAAAAAGACAGTTCCAGAATCATTCATCACCAGCATCCCTTGAACAAAGTTCCACATTACAAATTCAATGTGCAACAGCCTTCCCACAGCCATCCAAGTTCTAAAGCAGCTTCTTCACCTCCAAACTGGGAAAGAACTGCTGCAATCTGACGAGCTGAGAGACAGGCACAAAATGAGATGAGGAATAAAAATAGACAGGTACTCTCTGACTTGACAAGCAAGAGCAGGAGCACGTTTTCCAATAAATATAGAACACTTGCTTGGTTTCTTAAAAATAAAAAAGCTCAAAGTGCCTTGCATGCTTTAATTTTCAGGTGGCCACATCTGGAAATCCTTGGTTTATAATAACAGCTCCCAAACGGACCCTCCCATCTTTCTGTTGTCTCCCACTACTGTTAAGATTTTGATTGTAAGCTCTTTGGGGCAGGGACCTGACTTTTTTAAGGCAAAGGAGTGCTTCAGTTACACTGTAAAACACTTCACACATTGATGCTGTTACATTAATATTAACCTTCAAACTCATTTTATACCACGAGGGTGATCTGAGTCTTGAGACTGGGAAAAGGCAAGCTGAATTCACATTTGAAAACCTGGGGAATCCTGTTCAGTCTCATTCTGGAAGTCTAACTGCTTGTTTTCAAATGATAATACTTCAGCAGCCACACAGCTGACTGCATGTTGGCCAGGCATTCTTAAATATTCTGACCCAGTGCATGCATGCTCAGAAGGATCCGCTTCTGATTTCATTATAACTTCTATCCAACCAAATGTGCACAGGATGGCATCCTATGTCTATTAAAGAATTGACAGCGTTTTTGAACCCAGGGCATGGAACTGTTAGGATCATCATGAAAGCTACTTTGAGCTTAACAAAAGGGAAGGGCAGGAAAGTGATGCCACATGTATATTACAAGAGAAGCACTATAGCATTATTTGTGTGTATTACTGTGGGATAAATCATTCAGAAGCCTTTTTAAAGGGGATTGCTGTGCTCTGAACATACCCTCTGGTTAGCATGATCTTCCAAAGAAAAAAAAACAAAGCACTAATGTAATTCCTGTTTTGCCCCTACTTCTAAAGCTCCTTGTTGTGGCATTCACCTTATGCAATGCTCTGCATATAAAGTCTGCCGGGGCCCTTAACTGTATTCCTTCAGCCTCCAGGATAGCTCAGTCGGTACAGCATGAGACTCTTAATCTCAAGGTTGTGTGTTTGAGCCCCAAGTCGGGCAAAAAGATTTGCATTACAGGGGGTTGGACTAGATGACCCTCATGGTCCCCTCCAACTCTACAATTCTATGATCATCCAAGAGCCTCATTTAGAGATCTCCCAGGAAAAGACTTTAAAGTCATATGCACCAGATGTCTGGTGAAGGAATTTTTCATAAGGCTTTTGGCTGATTTAAAAATGCCTGTGCTGGGTTAGATTTTGTTTGTTTTAATGACTGCTGAATTTCTGTTTTATTGTACTGGGATTAGTCTAGAATATCATCTGTCTTGTTATGTGCCATTATAATCAATCAATAATAATAATAATAATAATAATAATAATAATAATAATAATAATTTATTATTTATACCCTGCTCATCTGACTGGGTTTCTCCAGCCACTCTGGGCGGCTCCAAACAGAATATAAGTAGTAATAATAATAATAATAATAATAAAGCGATAAAACATCAAACATTAAAAACTTTCCTAAACAGGGCTGCCTTCAGATGTCTTCTAAAAGTCAGATACAATGGTACCTCGGGTTAAGAACTTAATTCGTCCTGGAGGTCCATTCTTAACCTGAAGCTATTCTTAACCTGAAGCATCACTTTAGCTAATGGGGCCTCCCGCTGCCGTCACGTCGCCACTGCGTGAAGCAAAGTTCTTAACCCGAGGTACTATTTCTGGGTTAGCGGAGTCTGTAACCTGAAGCGTCTGTAACCCGAGGTACCACTGTAGTTGTTTATTTCCTTGACATCCGAAGGGTGGGTGCCACCACCTATAACCTCACTTCTCGCTGGGAGGGAACCGCCAGAAGACCCTCAGAGCTGGATCTCAATGTCCGGGCTGAACGATGGGGGTGGAGACATGCCTTCAGGTCTACTGGGCCAAGGCCATTTAGGGCTTTAAAGGTCAGCAGCAACACTTTGAATTGTGCTCGGAAAAGTACTGGGAGCCAATGTAGGTTTTCAGGACCGGTGCTATGTGGTCTCGGTGGCCGCTCTCAGTCTAGCTGCCGCATTCTGGATTAGTTGTAGTTTCCGGTTCTCCTTCAAATGTAGCCCCACATAGAGTGCATTGCAGTAGTCCAGGCGGGAGATAACTAGAGCATACACCACTCCGGCGAGACAGTCTGTGGGCAGATAGAGTCTCAGCCTGCGTACCAGATGGAGCTGGTAGATAGCTGCCCTGGACACAGAATTGACCTGTGCCTCCATGGATAGCTGTGAGTCCAAAATGACTCTCAGGCTGTGCACTTGGTCCTTCAGGGGCACAGTTACTCCATTCAGGACCAGGGAGTCCTCCATACCTGCCTGCCTCCTGTCCCCCCAAAACAGTACTTCTGTCTTGTCAGGATTCAACCTCAATCTGTTAGCCACCATCCATCCTCCAACCACCTCCAGACACTCACACAGGACAATTCACTGCCTTCACTGGTTCTAATTTGAAAGAGAGGTTTAGTGGGGATTCATCCGCATACTGATGAACACCCAGCCCAAACCCCCTGATGATCTCTCCCAGTGACTTCATATAGATGTTGAAAAGCATGGGGGAGAGGACAGGACCCTGAGGCACCCCACAAGTGAGAGCCCAGGGGTCTGAACACTCATCCCCCAACACCACTTTCTGGACATGGCCCAGGAGGAGTGGAACCACTGTATAACAGTGCCCCCAGCTCCCAGCCCCTCTAGACGGTCCAGAAGGATGTTATGGTCGATTGTATCAAAGGCTGCTGAGACATCCAGCAGAACTAGGAAACAGCTTTCACCCTAGCTTTCACCTAGCCTGCTGGAGATCATCGACCAGCATGACCAAGGTAGTTTCAGTCCCATGATGAGGCCTGAATACTGACTGGAAGGAATTCAAATGGTTTGCATCCTCCTGGCGTGTCTGGAGTTGCCCAGCAACGACCTGCTCAATCACCTTGTCCAAGAATGGAAGATTTGAAACTGAATGATAGTTGGCCATATTGGCCAGGTCCAAAGAAGTTTTTTTTTTAAGAAGCGGTTTAATAACTGCCAGTGGGTCTGCGAAGGCTATTGCTACTTGGTAGGCTCGACACTGAGCTCTAACCAGCGTTCAGTTCGATTCAAAATTACCGTATTTTTCGCTCTATAAGACGCACCAGACCACAAGACGCACCTAGTTTTTGGAGGAGGAAAACAAGAAGAAAAATATTCTGAATCTCAGAAGCCCGAACAGCAAGAGGGATTGCTGCGCAGCGAAAGCAGCGATCCCTCTTGCTGTTCTGGCTTCTGGGATAGCTGCGCAGCCTGCATTCACTCCATAAGACGCACACACATTTCCCCTTACTTTTTAGGAGGGAAAAAGTGAGTCTTATAGAGCAAAAAATACGGTAGTTTTCCACCACCGGCCCTCTAGCCATCTCAGCAATTGTTTCATCACCCTCAGCCCTGGAGAAAACCATGGGGCTGTCCGGGCTCCATGCAATCGGAGAGGGCGCTTCAGAGCCAGACAGTCAATAGCCCTTTGGTGCCAAAGAAGGATAGAAATTTTTTTATGTATGCCACAACAGCAGCAAGAATACTCATTGCAAAGTATTGGAAGACACAAGATCTACCCACTCTGGAAGAATGGCAGATGAAGGTGATTGACTACATGGAATTGGCGGAAATGACTGGCAGAATCCGAGACCAGGGAGAAGAGTCGGTGAAAGAAGACTGGAAGAAATTTAAAGACTATTTACAGAAATATTGTAAAATTAAGGAATTTTAGAAGGATGTTGGATAGAAACTAAGTGGTTTCCAGCTGTAATGCTTTAAGAGATACGGAAACAGGTTTTATAAATGGGTAAAAGCTTAATGGTAAGGACTTGCTGAACTAACAAACTGAACTGGAATACAAAAAGGGAGGTACGAGGAGGTGCGGGAAATAAGTGAAAGGAGGATATGTTATGGAAAACTAACGATGTGTTTTTAATTGTTTTTATTTTGTATGTTTCCTTTTATTTTTATTTTTTGCTATATCTTAAAAACTTTATCCTTTTTTCTGTATTTTGTATTTTCTTCTATTTTTATTTTCTGTTTTTGTATTTTTTGAAACTTTAATAAATATCATTTTTTAAAAAAAACAGACAGTCAATAGCCCTGATTAACTCCGCATTCCAGCGGGCCACCAGGGAATCAGCTGAAAGGCCATCAACATGGGATAAAACATCCCCTCTGGAAACCATTTGGATCCATTAAGTGGCGGGGGCGGACCATCCAAATCGGTCCCACCTCCCTGCAGAGAGGAAGGGTCGCAGAGAAGTCCAGTTGCACCAGGAAGTGATCTGACCATGGCACTTCTTTGGTTTCGTTTTTACTTAGTGTCAGATCACCAACATCCATAGAGGTGAACACCAGGTCTAAGACATGTCCGCGGCTATGAGTTGGGCTAAACCTATTCAGGGACAGCCCCATGGAGGCCATGCTTTCCACGAAGTCCTGAGCAGCCCCTTGTAAGGTTGTGTTGGCATGGATGTTATAATCCCCTAGGACAACCAAACTAGGTGTCTCCACGAGAACATCTGCCATGACCTGAAGCAGCTTGGGCAGGGAATCCTTGGTGCAGCAGGGAGGTCAGTACACCAAAAGGAATCCCGTATTGCCCCTATTGCCCAACTTCCAGAACATGCACTCAGAGAACTGGGTCTTCCCAATAGGACACCTGGTGCAAACTAATGACTTCCTAAAAATCACTGCACCCCCCCCCCCACACGGCCTGGGTTGCTGTGCGTAAGAGAAACCTGGTGGACAAGCAGCGGCAAGGACAGGCCCATCTGCTTCATCCAACCAAGTCTCTGTTACACATGCCAGGTCAAGTCCTCCATCCACGATCAAGTCATGGATGGCAATAGTCTTATGAATCCTTGACCTGGCATTGCACAGCAGCACCTTCAGGTCATGTGGGTATCCCTTGCTGATTCCAGTATCCGTCCGGTCAAGACCAGACCCAGAGGTAGGGATAGTCCTCAAATAACGACTAAACCTGCCTCCTCGGTAATGAAATGGTCTGCTCTTAGCGTAACTCCTCCTCCTACCCATGATCACTGAGATCAGATGTCCCAGTGCATCCCCCCCCCCACCCATGGAACCTGCCCCAGTCATTCTGTTGGCTGGGGCCCACTCCCAGGCAGCCCTGACCCTCTCCCCTTTATAACAGAACACAAACCGTACAACAAGCCAAAAAAAATAGTAGAAACAAAAAAACAACAACCCCCAAATAATAATAATTTACAATCATACTAAAATTAAACCAATCCCTAGCCCCAACTAAACGTCCATCCCACCCCCAAGAAAAGAAAAAGAAAAAGAAAGAGAAAAAAGCCAAAATTCAAAACACCACTGATTAAAAACTATTTAAAACACCTAAAAGCATTTAAATAATTACTTAAGAACATTACCACGGGGGGGGGCTGGCCCTTGCCCTTGTCTCACCCCCAAAGGGCCACCCCCTTTGGTGTTCCCCTGCCAGGCCCCCTCGAGTTCCTTGAAAGCAAGGCAGGGTAGAATTTCTAAAATTTAAATTAAATTATTGAATCATTAAGGCCCCTGATATTAGATTTTTACATGCTGCACTAATTATGGGCATTTCTAAATCATGCGTTATCAGCTAGCTATGACAAGTAACAACAGATGAAACTGTTCCTCTTGACTGGCAACAACTGGCAAGGACTGGAGGTTAATCATTCCTCTCTCCCCTTCAAAGACACGGTCATGCAAAAAAAATGAGAAGGCAGACATTTGCTTCCCAAGAAAACCATTTTTTCAACTGTGGAACCCCTTCTTGAGGTGGGTCTATGTTGTGGGAGTTAAAATGCAGATCTTCCAGACAGAATATTGGACTGAAGATGTCACCTGCTATTTTTGCTTCCAATAGAGCTTTAGTACAACTTTTCAAAGTATTTGTTCTCTAAGGGACTTGAAAATCTTACACACATATCATTATTTTATCTTATAGCAGTCCTCACAGAACTGCAGGACTCATGTTTCATGCAGCAAGACAGATTATCTGCATTCA